TTAGTGCCACTACATTGCGATACAAATTTGAGGGACATACAGAACACGGTAAAATCTCCTTCGCTTAAACCAGGGAGAAATGTAGGGGAGCAGTATAACCAATGAGACAGAATGGAAACGACCAAGTTTAAGAATAAGGGTTTGAGAAACGGCTAGTTTCTCGAGTGGGAATGCCAAAAAACTTTGTTCAAACGCGTTTAATCTGAATGGACCAGAAATGGTTATGGGTGGGGGTAACACCAATATATTAAACAGAGTCACAATTGCGAATGCACTCAGACTATTGACACCAAGATTGGGGAAACATTCCAACAAAGTAAGATAATGGACACCAGTTGTGGGACTGAACGGAACATCAATACATGTGCTGATATTAAGCAAAAGGAATGCAAAAAAGAGCTAATGAATGAAGTTCGTTAAGGTTTTCATTGAAGTGGGCGGAGAGTGTTTGAACCAGGAGATGGGCAACCAATCAAAGTGCCATCAGAAATTAGGTTTCGCTGAATAGGAAGATTTTGTATGTTTGGAGAAAAAAGATTAAACAGGCGAGGGGGGGAGACACACCCGTGAAGGAAATGAGAGTACAAAAAGAGATGAGGGACTTGTGATAATTGATGTTTGTGGGTGTGTATGCGTACAAAGTGGAAGAGGGTGATTGTGAATGGGTGAGTAGATGAATGAGTGCGAGTTCATGAACAGAGGTTACCTCACCAGATTGTTAGTGGATGATCATGGTAAGACGAAAGATAAAGATAGAATAACATACTGAAAAATATCAGAATTATTGTTTACGGAGAAGGATTCTCTACCATTGAATTAAATAAACTGGGTTCGACGGGAGAAATGATCAATTAAAATATTGGAAGCACAGTTTCCCCAGTAACGAATATGAACCGAGAGGCCAAAAACACAAGTTTGCACAATGTATTCTGGATCACTTCGCTGAATCTGTACATATGCATATTGCTGTTTACGTGATCATTAATATATGTCTCCTCATGTTAAATCTAATTGTACCTATCGGTTCAAGTGTGGATGCTCAGCTGTCTACATCGGCAGAACGGATAGACGACCACGTTACCGAGCTTATCCCGGTTGGGCTCCAGAAAACAATGAGTGGGAACTTCAGAAGTATGAGATCACCAATAACTCGTAGGCAACTCAGCGCGTCGGTCACACAACACTTGATCGAAATGCAGCACTGTGTCATACTGCGAGACGCGTTCAGAATCCTCTACAACACAAACAACACGAGGGTTCTGAAATATACCGAGGCATTAGCCATTCAATATTAACATCCCCGACTGTGTGTAAAAAGCAAGAATGGCTTATCACTCCGGGCGCTAACTCGGTAACAAATATGTTTGGTGAGTAACTGTGACCATGTTTTCTTTTTTCCTTTCTTTTATTGAATATACAAAGAAACAATTCTCAGGAAGGGGGAAGCGGCAAATCAAAGGGCTGCCATTCAACACACACACAACGGGGAAAGCCAGGCGGTGGTGGTGATAGGACTCGAACACAACCCACCCCCAGGGTGATAATTTGGTGACGTGTTACCACCGGGGCACCATCGCAATGTTTCTCCGCCTATGGTTCTTGTAAGAAGCATTATTGTATGATTGAAATTACGTACACCGGACCAACCTGTACTGTGTTAAAAACCCAACAATTCATGTGAGGCCCTAATCAACTCCCAGTTTGATGACTTTTGCCCACCGGATCGGAACTCGTTACGTTCCCCTTCCATGGCCATTCAGTTGCACTTTTAGGTATTTCCCCTATGATTACCTAACCGTTCCACATAGCAACTTTCGTGTTAATTGTCGTGACCTGTAATCGCAATCTATTATCTCCAATCCACATGGAAACTGTTTGGTATTAATCGTCGTGACCCCTTCTTCGTTCAACTCTTACTGTAATCTTTTATCTCCATCCCACACGGAAACTGTTTCTTGATGATTGTCGTAATTGTTGTCCTATTATCATGATCTAATATCGGTATCAATTATCTCGACCGGACATAGAAACTGCCTCGTGCTATGGTGGTCACCTGTTTATCACCCACCCACCATGATTATCCTACCGTGTTCACTGTTGTCACTGTTCATTCTTTCTCGCAATCAGTTATTTCTTGACACATGCTACCATCCGCCTTGTGTGTTTAATCCTCCCAGACACCCTCCTCGTGTTCGATGTCTATTCACTCAATTACACCGTGATTACGGTTGCCATCTGTCGCCCCCCCCCCTCGACTTTGATGTCACTTCGCTATCCCATCCCTGTGATTAGTCCTCACTGCCCCTCAAATAGCACTGTCTCTACATCCACGTCGCATTCCTTTTCCGATTTCGACGAGTGTTTTTCTGGCACATCTGCCCTTGTATCGAACCGATTGTTCTGTCCAGACTGAGTTGGCCCTAATTTGAGGTATGCCGTTGTATTTCCATTG